ACTCGCCCTTGTCTTTGCGGCCATATACTCGTCCTGTTGTTCGATTTGATTCTTTTTTTTGTATCGATGTTTTCTCCTTTTTCGTTCCTTCTCCGGAATCCTCTTTTGCAAATGATGTATGGATGGTTCGCACACCTTCGCATTTTCGTTTTTGATCGTTTCCCTTCGAACTCTCGTACATGATGAATGAGAATTGGGATTGCATTTTGGCGTGATCAGTAGAGTGTGTTGGCTTGTTGAATCTTACGGGTAGTCTGGAGTGCACCATCCGACGTGCCATATGGGCACCTGCAAGTGCGATCCGAATGGAGCGTGGCTTATATGTGTCCATACCACTCGGACTCGTCAATCGCGTCTTGGCTAACGCCCGTAGTCAGCCCCTCACTGAAGTAGGAGTCGACGTCAACCGGGGTCGGGTTACCCATCACGCGTAAGTGCGACTTGTTCGCATCTCTCTTACGCACTTACGAGCGGTGGTATCCCCAATTAACTTATCCCCCAAGGCGTGAGTGATGAAAGAATGACGAGCTCGCGGAGTTCCGACGTATCTTGGAATTCCGAGGATTACGAGTCGTATTTCGAATACCGGGAAATCTGGGAAGAAGAGCAACTCCGATTACGGGGAAATTTGAGAAACCCCGTGTTCCCCTGCCTCACGGAAAACGATAGATTCTGCGCTAGGGAATTCCATCTCGCCGTACGAAGCAACCCATGGATACCCGACTACCCAAACACTTACAACACGCAGTATTTCATAACCCCCGGCTTCGTCCTTATCGCCACTAATTTCCCGCCATACCACCTCCTCCTCCCCTATCATCAGCTTACAGTAGTACCGTGGAATTCCATAGCGCCTTATTGGCCCTCCACCCCTCGCAGAAGCTGCAGGCAACGTGCCCATACCCGAACCCCCGGAGCCTCGGCACCTAGGCATAGTTCCCACCAACCCACGCCACGTGGCGGACCCCGAAGGCGTGGGCCCCAAGGACCGCCTCGACAGGCTCCCCAGAACTGGCGATCACGTCAGGATCGGACGGCCCCGCACAACCAGCGTGCAAGCCCGCGCCCGTAAATTTTCCCATTGCTCTATTGCATCTCTGCCCCTGAACTCGGCCACAGAAGATCCCAGTTCCGACCTGGGACTTCAACCCCCACTTTCCCAAAAATTCTTGGCACACCCCTCTTCGCACTTCCAGGCCCCCATCCCACTCCGATCAGGAAGTCGCGCCGGGCGTGAGGTTGGGCGTCACAGACCTGCTTTGGGGCCTCCCCTCTGCTGGGGGGGTTCCCAAGTCCATTCTGCTGGGTCCAGAGCCATGTCCTGGATTGATTTGAAGGGCTGGAACACCACCCTCTGTCCTTTCTCTTCTAAAACTCTCACTCGATACACAGATGCTCTCTCTTTCCATTCGAGGGGCTCTGCTACCTTAACACTACACAACCCAATGTTGATTGTTGTTCATTAAAGATCCAAGGGTGTGTGGTGGGAAAACCGTCTAGGCGGTTCAGGCTTCCTCGATAACTATTGAGTGAGAAAGTGTCCAATACAGATGTGTTCAGGTTAACGCGGGCCAAAGTGTAAGTCTAGAATACAGGTCTGATTGGGATAATCTTGGCCAGAATTGGACCTCTGTTGGGACGCTGGACCGGTTTCCAGCAGACGAAGCTGGGTAATGGCCCCAGCATACACCGGCCTCTAGTGGACTTTCATATTATTTTCTTTTTTTGGGGGGGGGGTTCATATTATAATAAATGTCCAGTGGCCTAGCTCAGTTGGTAAGGCTGGCAAGTGGCATTCAGGAGGTCTTGGGTTCAATCCCCAGTGGCCTCATGTACCTTTCTGGGCATGCTTGGCGCCCGCCACCTAGAGATAGCACGTTGGTCCCCCCAATTGGCATTAAAAAAGCAGTCTCTGCTGATGTTCATAGGGGGAGGGGTAATCGGGGAGGCACAGCGACTGGCCACTCAGATGATGCTCGTTCCCTCTGCCACCGGCTGTCCCCTGGCCAGTGTCCCCGGTTGGGGGTTTCCTGAAGGCAATCAAGGCCACCCTGGGCTGAAAAGGCCACCCGACGTCAGATTAGACACAATATTGAATTTACCTGGGCTGGTTAGTCCGATGATAAAGGCCATTCGCCCTTTTTAAATATATATATATATTATATTTGTGACGATATATGTATACAAAATAAACTGTGTTTTCCGGGGAAAAAAAGCCAAAAACAAAAAGAATAAAAGGCTTCCAAAAAAAGACCTGTACGGAGGGACTGACTGGTGGCTTATTTTTATCTCGTTCTTTGCTCTGGGGCGTGGTCCCACTAGCAAAGAGGGTCGGATAGAATGCCTGAATCTGGACGACTTTGTGGAGATGTGCAGGAAATCGAGATTGAACTGCTTTTCTGCACCTCTGCATAAGACACATCCAGATTCAGGCATT